CCTCCGTGTGTATGGCCGAAACGTAGGTCCAGTTGTATCTCTTGACGATGTCCACCATTGCCCTGGCCTGCTGGGCGTCCGAGGGCACCACCCTCATGAAATATTTATACAGCGACTTGTCGCTAAGGTCCATACTAGTGGCTGAATATGCGATTTGTGGGATGTTGAAAAGCTGCAGAAGGTTCTGAACTTGAATGGCCACTGAGCTTGACCCAGGACCAATCAGGCCCACGATTGGTTTTTTCCCTTTCATGGGCGTGGCCCCAGGATCCGCACATCTGGCCGTTGCTCCGCCCCCAGGTTCGTCTCCGTCGTCCGCGGTGACCAGAGAGTCTCGTATGAATTCAATGCTTTGCTCTAGGGCCACGGCGGAGTGCCAGCAGGAGTCACGTATCTCACAGCCCAGCGTGATGTTGGGCAGGATGTTGGGGTCAGTGTTTATTCGGTCCAGCGTAAGCATCATCGCTTCCACCCGCTGGATTCCGTACTGCTCTCGTATGGCGCCGCACTTCCGCTCATGGACTTTGTCGGCCTGAGGCTGGTGGTGCACAGAGAACAGTGCACCAATAATTATGTCACCAGGGATGTAGGCAACCACCCGCCGCTCGCTGGACTGGGCAGCACGGGTCAGTGGAACCAGCAGCAGGACATAGGTCAGGGGCAGCAGGGCGGCCATCGCAAGGAGAAAAGGATGACTTTACACAAATCTGTCGAAAAGAAGAGTTAGGCTTTATTTTGAAGGCCCCAAAAGTTCACCTGCAATTTCACAAACTGTCAAACTGTCTGATGAAGTTGATTATCAACAGTGTTGAAGTTGGGATCAGTTACACTGATTTTAATAGATATTTGATGAAACGACTTTTGCACAAATTTGTGCTTTAAAAGTTGGTCACACTTTGGTCTCATGGTCATCTTCATCTAAAAACTTCAATCTGGTGAAACTCAACTGGTCACACATTTGGTTTAACAGGTATTTAGGATTAGCTAAAAAACCCTGAATTGAAATAGAAATTAGAAATAAAACAATAGAAATAAAAATGAAAATAGAAATAAATCTAGACATAAGTTAAAGTACAAGAGAAATAAAATAAAAGTATATCTATTTGCATATTTACATGGCATATGAGATATGATTTGTTGTATTAACATGACAGCAGGCACTGAGTGGTATGATGTAAACTAAAAGCACAATGATTATAGACATAACTAGGAGTTGCATCAATATTACAGTGTAAAGTGCGTAGTGAAAGTGTCATTACAGCAGCAGTTATGATATATGGCACAGTGTGTATTAACAGGAGAGGAGATACAGTGATGTGGTTCAGCTCAGTTCAGACAGCAGGAGATCAGTACCGTCTCTGTAGTGAGGAGACTCGTAGTAGGGCCTTATAGCAGTGGGTAAGAAAGTACAGCTGATTTAATGAATATTCAGAGTTTGGGAAAAGTTACAGTGAATATAACTGATACATAGGCTGGTCAGAGAACAGTGCAGTTAAATGTGACTGTGTTACAGTAAAGTTACATCAAATTTATCTCAAATTCATATGGTGATTATGCTGAAGGTGGTGATGATGGTGTTCATGTGATGATAATGATGGTGATTTTGATGTTGGCGATAGTGATGACGGTGATAACGTTAATGGTGATGGTGTCGATTGTTATGATGGTGATAGTCATGGTGATAATGGTGAAGGTGATAATTTTTATGATAATGGTGATGTAATGACAATGATTACAGTGATGGTGGCGATGATGATGGTCTTAATTATTATGATAATGGAGATGGTGTTGATTGTAATGATGATGGCGATGTAATGGTGATGATGATGATGGTAATGGTGATAATGATGGTGATGATAATAGTGGTGATGGTAGGAATGTAGATGTGTGTGTGTGTGTGTGTGTGTGCTCAACTCCTGACTCTTTGCTGCTCACACACCTTTCAGGGAAGTGGTTGCCGTGGGAACGCGCAGGTGAAGTCACCAATAAAGCCAAAATCCTGCAGCTCCTGCACTCGCTGGAGTCTCTGTAACAACCAGGACCGGGACATGGGGTCGTTGCTATGGCAACCTCTGGCTAGGGACAGTAGTTGTGTGATGATCTTCATAACCTTGAAGAACACACACACACACACAAAAACAGACACACACATCCGAAGTGAAAAATTCTGATACAGTTCAATTAAAAATTAATTCAATTCAAATTAAATTCAACTTTATTTGTAAAATGTACCATTTGTAAAGAAGAACCAATGACAGGAACCAAGACTCAAAAGGAGAACCTCCTCTGGTTACCACATTAGACAAACTGACCACACATACGGTTCCAGTCTAAATCTGCTGCGAACATTAAACAGAAACAGTGTTTTGAAGGAAAACAGCATCTTTTGAGCCAAAACCGTGTGGTGGATGGAGTCTAGACGGCGCATCAGCTGCTCAACAGACTCCTAATCACCCCCTTGCTTGATCTGAGACCCCGACTGAAATCATTTGATTTATGGTATGATAAACAGGAGGTAGTTTAGATTTGTTTTTTGGTCTTTATATAATTCCATAAGTGCAAATATACAGTTTTAATGTCTTCTGACACAAAGTGATTCAATCTTTATCATCAGATTTCACTGAATTCCATCTTCCATCACAGCAGCTCCATAAAAACAGCAGCGCTACACAGAGCGTGTGTATGTGACTGTAAACCCGACTGAGAAGTAAAAGAGCTCTCAACGTATTAAGAGCTGTTCAGCGTCTGTTTGAGGGTTATTGTTGTATTCAGTGAACAGCGCCGTCTCTCCACCGTCTTCCTGTGAGCTACTCTGAGAATGATCTACAATTTTGGAACTAATTCGTATCAGCACTAACAGCCTCGTCCTGAATTTCACTGAGAACTGCAGCTCAACACTGCAGCAGAGTTTGCACTGCTGAGCTGATCTGACTGTCGGCTGTAAAACATCTCAAACCACCAGAGTTTCCTCTGATAAACGGAGTGAAAGAGTAAAAAGTCTCACTTTATATTAAGTGCCTCTAATAACTGTGTAGTTACACATTAATAACATACGCAACAACACTGTAACTCCATTTGCTGTTACAGCAGTGCAGCAGTGTGTCTTTATAGCCACAGCATACTGTAACTGTGTAATTACACATTACACATAATTACCGGTGCTGGAAGTAACAAGTTACAAAGTCAACATTACTGTAATTGCACAACTTCTGTAGGTAATACATAATGTATCTTATTACCTTTTCAAATTAAAGTTATGTATTTTGCTCATATTCATGTTATTTTTGGCTCTACTAGAACAGATTTACAGCTTCAGTGTTCCAAAATCACATTATTTTCCTCACACTGTTCATCTCAGTTCACCCTCTGAAACACTCTGGTAGAGATCCTGAGTGTTAGAGATAAGCCACAGCATATATAATATATATTAATTGATTGGTGATTGATTGATTGATTGATTGACAAATTGATTGACTGATTAATTGATTGATTAAAAGGGACTGAGCTGAAGAGAAGGAGGAGCAGTGTCTGATCTCCAGTCTGCTCCTCTGAGGGCTCCGTGTGTATAATAAAGGTTGATTGATTGATTGATTGACTGACTGACTGATTGATTGATTGATTGATTGATTGAAAGTGGGACTGAACTGAAGAGAAGGAGCAGAAGTGTCTGATCTCCAGTCAGCTCCTCTGAGAGCTCAGTGTGAGAACTGCTCGGTCTCTGACGCTGAGGTGAGACCAGAGAGCTCAGTGAAGTGCAGCTCCACCTTCACAGCTTTCCGTGTTTAACAGGAGTGAGACACAGACAGACAGGGGAACAAAGAGCTGCTATCTAGAACCACTATTTCACCACCAGAAGTAGAAAAGTCAGTGGACCCTTTAATCTCTCAGAACCATTACATCCTACAGCTGGTTATTCAGTGACACAGCGACTGTGATTCTGACCATTCTGGTCTGAGTACAGCTGCTATTAAAGGGGAATTCCACCCACTATCTAAAATTCCTGCATAATAGCGTGGTCCACAAGGCCTTCCAGGTGGTGAATAGACTTTTTCTTAGGATCTTTGTCAACAACACACTTAAGAATAAGCAACATTTTATCTGGGTCAGCTTTATTTTATTAGCTAATCGCTCTGTAAGACATTTAAAGCTCAGCGGAAATTTCAACACAGGTTCAAAAATAAAACATCAGTCGTGGAAAAAAAATCAGATTGAGTGTGGAAGCTATTAACTGGATGCTCTACAGCTTCATGTGTTTTGCTGCTTGTGATTATTAACATGCTTTTCTCTGCAGCTCATTTTTTGCCTGTTTGCTTCTACAAACAAGCAGTAGTTGTCCAAACCCACCCTGTACCCACCCAGCCAGCCATAACACCCCCCTGCCAAATGCTGCCTGTTTACCCTGGTGAACCCACCCTGTGCAGAGTTTCTAACGTACATATTTTCATAAACAATTAAAAAATAATAAAGAACTGAACAATAAATAATTAGCGCTGTAATCTCTGTGTGCCTGTTTTAAACTTTTCATTTTTTAAATAGATTTTCTTTGTTCATTTAGTCTTAATTTGTTTTAATTGATTATATTTAATTTTAACTCGTTCAGTCCCTGTTTGAACTTGCTGGGCTTCACTGTAAATGCGGGTCACCCTTAACAAACATCCGAGTGGAAATAAAGCTTGATTGTCTGATTGATTCATTGATTGACTGATTGATTGATTGATTGAAGTAGGGCTAAACGAGGGTGCAGTTTGTATGTTTATGTGTGTCCCATGTTTTGAATTTATAAGTTATTTGTCCTTTTTATGCCACATATCAACAATATGATTGGTCGCTGCTCAGCTCATTTCTATAAAGTTATTACTCTGGGTCTGGACGGTGTTGGTGGGCTGTGCTGACCGACCCAGCAACGCGACTCATTACAGTTCTGCATTTAAAACAGTGTTAAATCTGCACTTCATTACGAATTCGCCCACTTAGAGCTGCTCCTGCTGCTCCTCAGACACTCTGAGCTCCTCTCACATCCAAACAGCTGACAACCAGTAGAACCTTCAGCAACACAACGGCCGAGAGACACATACAGCCTTTCACTCTCTCTGTATCACCCTACTCCTTTCAGCTGGTGTACCCGTCAGCTGGTGGACTGGTCAGCTGGTGTACCCGTTGGCTTCTGGACCAGTCAGCTGGTGGACCAGTCAGCTGGTGTACCCATCAGCTTCTGGACCAGTCAGCTGGTGTACCCATCAGCTTCTGGATCAGTCAGCTGGTGTACCCGTCAGCTGGTGGACCTTTTAGCTGGTGGACCGGTCAGCTGGTGGACCTGTCAGCTGGTGGACCAGTCAGCTGGTGTCCCCATCAGCTGGTATACCTGTCAGCTGGAGGACCAGTCAGCTGGTGGACCAGTCAGCTGGTGTACCCGTCAGCTGGTGGACCAGTCAGCTGGTGTACCATCAGCTGGTAGACCTGTCAGCTGGAGGACCAGTCAGCTGGTGGATTGGTCAGCTGGTGTACCTGTCAGCTGGTGTACCCATCAAATGGTGGACCAGTCAGCTGGTCATGAGAAGCAGCTGTACACTCTACATTCAGAAGACCGCTCCATTCAGAATACCACTCCTCTCTGACTGTGTCAGACAGCAGCAGCAGCTCCAGAGAGAAATCACCCAATCAGAGAGCGGAGAAGCTTCATCATTCAGTCCTGAATTATCTTAGAGGAGTCTGCAGGTCTGGATCTCAACCAGACAGTCACTCTTCGTCCACCATCAGATCAGATCCAGTTACTCACAGCATTTCTTAGCATTAAAACAACGTTACCAGTCTTTATTGCCCTGTCATTTTTTTTGACATCTTGCTGATATAAAATTCAACACCGGCAAATATATTTAAAAAAAAAAGATTTTCTGTTTCAATGTTTGATTTGGTGTCTTTGTTGTGTTTTCAATTAAACATAGGGTTATAATGATCTGCACATCATTGCATTTTCTGATTATTTACATTTTACACAGCGTCCCAACTTTTTTGGAAACCAGGTTGTACAATCTGATTGGCTGTTCTGGTTCTACAGTCTGATTGGCCGTTCTGACTCTAAAGTCTGATTGATGGCTCTAGTTCTACAGTCTGATAGGCTTTTTTGGCTGTTCTCGGTCTAAAATCTCACTGGCTGTTCTGGTTCTACAATCTGATTGGCTGAGCCACACATAAGCCATTTTAAAGCTGTGACCCACTGGAGAACATTACAGTGACATACTCAAAATAATATACAATCTTTCTTTTTCTGACCAAAATAAACATAATTTAAACCTAAAATAAGAATAAAAGATGTGTTGTTTTTATCATCTATATTCCTTTAGTATGTAAACTACATGTTTTCAATAATTATTCTGAATCGTACCAAATTTCTCTCTCACCTTCCATTTGTTCCACATCTCTCTCTGTCTCCCTCTCTGTCTCCCTGTCCCTCTCTCTTTCTCTATCCCCTCATCTCTCTCTCTTTCTCTCTCTCTCTGTCTCTCTCTCTGTCTCCCTGTCCCTCTCTCTTTCTCTATTCCCTCATCTCTTTTTCTCTCTCTCTCTCTCTCTGTCTCTCTCTGTCTCCCTGTCCCTCTCTCTTTCTCTATTCCTTCATCTCTCTCTCTCTCTGTCTCTCTCTCTCTCTGTCTCCCTGTCCCTCTCTCTTTTTCTATTCCCTCATCTCTCTCTCTCTCTCTCTCTCTGTCTCCCTGTCCCTCTCTCTCTCTGTCTCTCTCTCTGTCTCCCTGTCCCTCTCTGTCTCTCTATTCCCTCATCTCTCTCTCTCTCTCTGTCCCTCTCTCTCTCCTTCTGTCTCCCTGTCCCTCTCTCTTTCTCTATTCCCTCATCTCTTTCTCTCTCTCTCTGTCTCTCTATTCCCTCATCTCTCTCGCTCTCTGTGTCTCTGTCCCTCTCTCTCTCTGTGAGGGTGATGTATGTGGTCAGTGCTGGAGGACTGTATTGATCAGGCTGTATAAATTCTCCTCTTTTAGCTGAACAGCGATTCGCCACTCAGACGCCAAACCACAGATTGGATGCGCCGCTCGTTAAAGTGTTTTATATTCTTTCCATTAGAGGGAGTGAGTGTGTGTGTGTGTGTGTGTGTGTGTT